TTTTCACAATGTTAAGTCTTCTAATTCATGAGCATGATATATACTCTTCCATTTATTAGGTCTCTTTGGGTTTCTTTTAGTGTTTTGTGGTTTTCTTTATAGGTGTTTTGTATCTTTTGTTAGATTTATTTCTAGGAATTTCATCTTTTTGGTTAGCTACTAAAAATAAGTATTCTTACTCCTAGAACAATAAGAAACATCATGATTAATGGAGAAGAGATTGAAATTATCAACAACTTCATCTTAGATGGATCCACAATTAATACCCTTAGTATCAACAGTCAGGAAATAAGGAGATGCATTGCACTGGGAAAATCTGCAGTTAGGGACCTCTCTACATTATTGAGGAATAATGATGTCAGTTTGAGGACTAAGGTGCCTCTGATTCAAGCCATGGTCTTTCTGATAACTTACTGTGCATCTGAGAGATGGACAGTGAATAAGGATGACAGAGGAATTGATGGGAGAAGAGCACTGAACATCCCATGGACTGCCAAAAGAAGAAACAAATATATCTTGGAGAGGATGCAGCAGGAGTGTTCTTTGGAGGCAAGAGTGACGAGGCTTTACCTTGGACTTAATGCTGGGAAGGGTGGAGGGTTGGCAAAGACCCTCAACCAGGTGGATTGATGCAGTTACTGCCACAGTGGGCTCTTGTGTGTCAGGAAGTGTGAGGATAGCACAGGACAGAATGGAGTTCTGATCTTTTGTTTATACGGTTGCTATGAGTCGTACTCAACTTGACAGCGCCTAACAACAACTATAAATAGCATTGTTTTTCTTCTCAGAGCTCTTTCATCACTTTTCGGCCTTTTGGCTCAGATCAAGTGTAGTACCTTCTCAGAATTCTTTATATTGCTGCAGAGGAATCCAGCAGACTTTGTATATTGATCTTGTACTCTACCACTTTGCTGATTGCTCAGTTTAGATCTGGTCCTTTTCTTGCTACATCTTTATGGAGTTTTCTATATGAAGGATTGTGTCATAAGTAAATACGGTTTTACTACCTTTTTGCCAGTTTGGATGCTTTTTATTTCCTTAATGGCTAGGACTTCCAATACAGTGTTGAGTAACAGTGGTAACGAACATTTCCATGTCAAAATTTTATTTCAGCCATAACAAATGAATAGACCCTTAAGATAAAATATTTTGGTATTAACATTTGCTTGACTTTAGTATTTATCAACTAAGCTTTTTATTTAAAAAAATTCTTGTTCATTCAATTTCCATCCTTCTCTCCAGCCTGCCTGGTATGACTAAGGTGGTGGTGGTTGGTGGTGTTATGTACCATCGAGTCGCCTGTGACTCATAGCAACCCTATGTACAACAGCCCTAAACCCTGCTCTATCCTGTGCCAACCTCAGTGTCTCAGACAAACCCACCCTGATTACCCTAGTCACTGAATCAGTCCACCTCATAGAGGGTCATCCTCTCCTGTGCTGTCCCTCCACCCTCCCAAGCATGATGTCTTTCTCCAAGGACTAGTTCCTCCTTGCAACATATCCAGAATATGTCAGACGAAGCTTCAGAACCTTTGCCTCCAAAGAGAAGCCTGGTTCTTTAGGACAAGCCTGTTCGTTTTCTTAGCAGTCCATGGTATGTCTACTTGTCTTCTTCAGTACCACAACTGAAAGGCATAAATTGTAATGATAGCTAAGGTAGTACCTACTTATATGTTGTTGTTAAATGCCACTGAGTCAGAAACAACTCATAGCCGACTCTCCATCAGGTTGTCAGAGGCAGTGAGTTGTACGGGAGGATATTGTTCATCCTTCCCCTGTGGAACAGCTGGGGGATTTGAACGACACGTCTTTGGATTGCAGTTCAGCTCCTAATCACTTGGGCCTCCAGAGCTCCCTTTCTTGTATATCCTCCCAAAATGTCCTTATGTTGTTGTTATGTGCTTTCGAGTCCTTGAAAATTCATCATCATCAGAGCTGATTCATAGCTGACCCCCCAGGGGTTTTTTAGAGGCTGTAAATTGCATACATGGTGACAAACATTGAGAAGAATGGGAATCCCAGAACACATGATTGTGCTCGTGCAAGACCTGAACTTAGACCAGGAAGCAGTTATATGAACAGAGCAAGGAAACATTGTATGGTTCAAAATCAAGAAAGGAGAGTATCAGTCCCATACCTTTTCAGTCTATATGCAGAACAGATCATTCAAGAGGCTGGACTTTATGAGGTGGAATGTGGCATCAGGATTGGAGGAAGACTCCTCATCAGCCTTCGTTATGCAGATGACACAACCTTGTTTGTGAACACTGAGGAGGACTTGAAGCATTTGCAGTAGAAGGTCAAGGACTGCAGTCTTCAGTATGGATTGAAGCTCAATATCAGGAAAACAAAGATTCTCACCGCTGGGCCAATTGGCAGTATCATGATAGATGGAGAAGAAATTGAGATTGTTAACAATTTCAGCTTGCTTGGATCCACAATCAAAATGTGAATTCCTTTGGGAAAGTCTGTTATCAGGGACCTTTCCCGAGTGCTAAGAAGCAACAGTGTTACTCTGGAGACTAAGGTGCACCTGATCCAAGCCATGGTCTTCTCAGTTACTTGCTGTGCATTGGAGAGCTGGACAATGATTAAGGATGACAGGGGAAAAAATTGTTGTGGTGGTGTGGAAGAGTCTTGAACATACCATCGACTACCAGGAGAACAAATAGGTCTTCCTGGAGAGGGTGAAACCAAGATGGTTGCTGCTTGGAGGCTAGGATTGTGAAACTCCACCTTACATACTTTGAGCATGTTGCCAGGAGGGATCAGTCCTCGAAGAAAGACTTCATGCTTGGAAGAGGGACAGTGCAGAAAAGTAAGACCCAGATGAGATACATTGATACAATAACTGTGTCACTGGGGGCAGGTGTGTCATAGACCATGAGACTGGCTTAAGATTGGGCAGGGTTCAGAGTTGTTCATAGGGTTGCTATGAGTCATAGTTGATTTGGTAGCATATAACAATAAATCTCATGCGAGGAGATTGCCTGTCTTTCTCTGGAGCAGCTGAATTTGAAATCTCTGTATTTGAACCACGTATCTGAGTTGACAGTGCAATTCCAAGAGCACTTTGGTATCAGAACTCCCTTATTTATGTATGTTCTTTGTTACCTTTGAGTTGGAACCAACTCATAGCTGACCCTCCAGCAAGTGTTCAGAGGCTGTAAATTGCACAGGAGATTGCTCATGTTTCTTTTACAGAACAGCTGGTGGATTCTATCCATGTGCCTTTGGGTTGATAGTACAGTTCTTTACTTGGCCACCAGAGCTCCCTCTTTCTTATATATTGAAACACATACCAAGATACATCCTTTTCTTTTAAAATCAAATAGAGCATATTATACACATCTTGTTTGGGTTTTTTGGGGGGGGCAATAGTTCCCCGTAGTTCCCCCCCCCCTTTAAATAGGCATCTTCAAGATACATAAACCAATGACAGCTGGCATACTGTTTGTTCCTGGTACAATTCTTTCTTACTAGTACAATTACTATACTAAAAATTGTTTGGATATACAAAAACCAACTCAAGGTGGATCATGGACCTAGGACTAAAACCAAGGACTATAAACTTCATTCAAGAAAAACTTGGAAGAACTTTAGTAGTCCTAATCCACAACATAAAGAGTCTTCCAAGTATTCTGAAAAATTTACAACCAGGAGAAGATAAAATAGATGAATTGGACCTTCTAAGAATCAAATCCCTATGTGCATCCAGAAACTTCTCTAACAGTGTAAAAAGAAAAGTCATAGACTGGGAAAAAGTGTTTAGTAATGACATGTCATGTAAGGGACTTATATCTAGAAGTTATAAAATACTTGAGCACCACAAGATAAAGGTAAATAATCCACTTGAAAAATGGGCACAGGATATGAACAGACACTTCACCAAGGAAGACATTCAGATGGCCAACAAGCACATGAAGAAATGTTTAAAATCCCTATCTCTGAGAGAGATGCAAATCAAGACAACCATGAAATACCATCTCACCCCAGTAAGACTAGCAAAATTTAACAGAACAGCAAGCAACAAATGCTGGCGAGGTTGTGGAGAGACTGGAACCCTTATTCTACTGTTGGTGGGAGTGTAAAATGGTGCAACCACTGTGGAAAGCGATGTGGCGCTTTCTCCAAAAGTTGCAAATAGAGATACCATTTGACCCAGCAGTTCCACTACTGGGAATATACCCTAAAGAGACCATAAATGGCACCCAAGTAGATATATACATACCCATGTTTATTGCGGCTTTGTTTACAATAGCAAGGAGTTGGAAACAACCCAAATGCCCATCAACAAATGAATGGGTAGAGAAGCTGTGGTATATTCGCACAATGGAATATTATGCTGCATTGAAAAACAAGGAACTAATGCAATATTATTCAAAATGGGTTACCCTGGAAGACATTATGCTGAGTGAGGTATTTCAGTCACAAAGGGACAAATGCTATATGGTGCGACTGTTGTAGAATGAGGCTGACATCGGGATGGGGGTAAGACTGAGAAAAACTGGATGAAATATGTTTAAGGCATTGAAGTCTTTGGGGGAGAGAATATTTTATATTTTAGGGCATTATGTTTATCATAAGAGTACGGAATGAGGGTTGCAGAGTGGATTATATTTGGGGTTTGGGGGATGTGTGTGGGGGATTGTGTACCAGTGAGGGAGTTTTTCTTTTACGTTTGAAGGAGAGGAGCAAAGGGGGGGGGGGACAATGAATGAATGGAATTCCAAAATCTCTGTAGATGTTCATTGAAATGAAAAATAAAGAAATTTAAAAAAATTGTTTGGTATGGGGGTGGATGGTTATGCCTATCTCTTAGTGAACATGATTCCCTCAATACTTTGCACATCTTACTTTAAATTATGTGATGTACAGGACATCTTTTTTAATGATCTTAAATATTTGAACTCGAATAGGCTATAAATAAAAACAATATATTTGAATAGACATTTGTGGGTTACTGTATTGACTAGAAATTTTGTGTTCATATTTCAGGTTGCTCGTCTATTGTTAGAAAAAGAAGTATTAGATAAGAATGATATGATTGAACTTCTGGGTCCCAGACCTTTTGTGGAAAAATCCACCTACGAGGAGTTTGTGGAAGGAACAGGCAGCTTAGATGAGGACACCTCACTTCCAGAAGGCCTGAAGGACTGGAACAAAGAGAGAGAGAAGAATAAAGAGGAGTCCACGGATGAGAAAGTGGTCAATCAGAACTCAGGGGAGGTGCCCTTCTGATTGGACTTGTTGCTGTTTCAGATTGCACGATATTTCCACTTTTGCTTTCTCGGAAGGAGAGCACTGCTAAGTTGATTTAAAGCAACTTACACACTATTTCACCCAGGTAACATAGTGAGAAGAGTAGTGTTTAACCCTCTGCTGTAGAGTCACAGCAGGGCTAGTGGTGTCTGAAAGCACTGAACAAGAGGCATGGTGGCATTTCCGTACAGCAGCCTAAACAGTTACTGAAAGTTCACTGCTGTCCTGAGTCCTTCTGGACCCACAGGAAGGCCTGGGACTCAGTGGGGGTTAAGGGTAATGAATATGTAAAATTCTGACAACATTGGAGAACTACACTTTGTTTTCATTCTCTGTTCTTCATTCCTATTGTCTATTTTCTTTTGTAGATGAAGGGGGCCCCATGGACTGTGAAATTAAACTCAAGTCTTGAAAAGAATATTTTACTATTTTAAAGAGTGAATTCTAAAGACCCATTTTTGTCTTATCGGAATGGTTTTCTTTAAAGAACTGTAACATTAACAAAACATTAACCACCTGCACACTGCATTATCTAAAGGGGCTCTAATGGCAATAGTCCACTCTCCTGGTGACCAAAAGGCGACCCTCTCCAGTAATTTGAATCTGCCATCTGCATTGAGGGAGAAAGATGGGCAGTTTCTTCCCTTGTGATTTGTAGCCTCTGAGAACCTGCTAGATGGTCAGCTATGAGTTGGCTCATAGCAGCTCAGTAGCAATTAAAAGGTTTGATGTTAGTGACTTATTTGCATAAAAATATGGTGATAATGGCTAGATTTATATATCCTGGATTACATACCCTGTAAGTAGCTCATACAATGGCTAAACCCTCAGTGACTACAGTGGGCTTGAGCATGTCAGAGATGATGAAGATGGCACAGGATAGGGCAAAGATCAGAGCTGTTGTTGATACTATGAATTGTAGTTGACTCAACAGCACCTTAAAACAGTCACCTCCTTACTGGCCAATCATGAACAGATACTCCACATTGTCTAGGGTTGGTAGATAATCATGGCCATCTGTAGGCTGTTCCTCACCATCTTCTCTGTGTCCAGAAATGGACAGTGAAGCCAAGCTGCTGAGGCCCTGTAGAGCAGTGGTTTCCCTGTGATTCTTAAGTGGTGACAATCATTACTGTTTTTCCCTATTAGAATAATAAGAGTCATCTTTTGGAAAAGTTATTTGATGCATGTAAGGTTTTAATTTTCAGGAGATCCCAGTTGTCTAGATTATCTATCCTCTGCTGATTGTGATTTTCAGCTATACGTGGTAGTCTATGCCATTCAGTACTGAGCCCTGTTGGTACCTCTTGATTCCTCCCGTGGCACTGCTGGAGAACAGGTGACTTCCAGCTTCAGAAAACTGCTGACTGGTCACCTGTGACTCTGTTCCAAAACAACGGCAATGAGAGTTCATCTATGCCATTGATTAGAACTCCTGACTTTCTCTCTGATAATCATAATTTCTAGGTTTTTGCTCAGGTTCTTGATCCATCTTGAATTAAATTTTTGTGTAGGATGTGAGGTAGGGGTTTTATTTCCGTTTTCTACAAATATATATCCAGTCTTGCCAGCATTATTTGTGAAGGAGTCTGTCTTTCCACCTAAGTATTTCATCTGTGTCAGAGATTAGCTGTCCATGGGCAGATGGATTTACTTCTGGGTTCTTAGTCTATTCCATTTGTTTCTGTTACTGTACCAGTACCAAAGTGATTTTAATTGTTATGGCTGTGTAGTAAGTTTTGAGATCAGGAAGTGTTAGGCCTCCTACTTTGTTTTTCTTCTTCAGTAGTGCTTTATCTGGGATCTCTTTCTTTATGAAGATGGTTACTTTTGCATTTCTTTGAAGAACAATGATGTGATCCAAGTAGGGATGACATTATAGATTCCTTTTGGTAATAGTACCATTTTTACAATGGTAAGTCTTCCTTATGAATGCACCATGAGCATGGTACATTTTTCCATTTATGTCAACTCATGATGATCTCATATGAGCACAGTAGATTTCTGCTCCTTTGAGTTTTCAGTGGCTGCCTTTTTAGAGGCAGCCCACCAGTGCTTCCTTCTAAGGCACCTCTGGGTGGAGGTGGGCTCCAGCCTTTCTGTTGGTAGCCACCCAGGTAGGAGGGTCTCTCACACCTGGACTACAGGTAAGCTTAGGAAATTGTTAGCCACCATTCTTAAGCCTTCTAGTTCTTAGGGAGCTGTCTGGGGAGTTGATCCACATGGGGGAAAGGCAGGCAGTCTCCTCCTTTGTGATTTACAGCCTCTGAAAACTGGCTGAAGGGTCAGCTATGAGTGGATTCCAAAGCTACAGTACCTAACAGGGCAGTCTATCCCAGGAAGAAACAAAAGGCAAGTTGTGTTGTTGTTGTTATGTACCATCAAGTCGCTTGCAACTCATGTACAACAGCCCTAAGCGCTGTCCTGTGCCAATCTCATTGTCTCCGATACTCCCCTCTCGATTACTCACTGAATCAATCACCTCATAGAGGGCCTTCCCCTCCTGCGCTGTCCCTCCACCCTACCAAGCATGATGTCCCTCTCCAAGGACCGGTCCCTCGTTATAACATGTCCAAAGTATGTTAGACAAAGCCTCAGAATCCTTTAGAATAGCTAGGCAAGTAGCTATTCTAAAAATCCAAAGGAGCTAGAAGAGACAGATGAGCAATGTTTAATGTTTTATTATTCAGGCAAAGTAGTAATACTGCACAGTTTCGGGTTTCTTCACAAAGGATTAAAAATAATCCAAATACTTTGCTAACTTCTCAAACATAGTGAACACTTAGTGGAAGGTGAGGCTTGCTCAGCACTCTGTGACTCATGACTTGGAAGTAGAGCTCCATAGCTGCTTATGGATATGCCAGTGCTTTGCTGTTGTCCTGCCCTTTCTTTACTCCACATGGCAGATAGTACAACTTTACTATGTCAGTGAAGGACCTGTGCCAACAAATTTAGACCAAGGTGTCAGTAGGGAAGCCATCTGTGGCAAGGTGCACCACATTCAAGAAATAGCATCTGTATTTGGTATTTAAAATAGGAAAGCCACTCTAGTACTGTAGCTCTTCATCATCCTCAAAACTGTCTCCATCAGTTATCCTAGCTTCTTGATACTGCTGGTACTCGGACACCAGGTCATTCATGTTGCTCTCAGCCTCAGTGAACTCCATCTCATCCATGCCCTCCCCTGTGAACCAGTGCAGAAAGGCCTTGCGCCGGAACATGGCTGAGAACTGCTCTGAAATGCGCTTGAACAGCTCCTGGATGGCCGTGCTGTTGCCAATGAAGGTGGAGGCCATCTTAAGGCCATGAGGTGGGATGTCACATACGGCCACCTTAACATTATTAGGGATCCATTCCACAAAGTAGCTGCTGTTCTTGTTCTGGATGGCCAGCATCTGCTCATCTACTTCCTTCATGGACATGGGGCCCCGGAAGACAGTGGCCACAGTGAGGTAGCGCCCATGTCTCGGGTCACAGGCAGCCATCATATTTTTGGCATCAAACATCTGCTGGGTCAGTTCTGGCATGGTGAGGGCTTGATACTGCTGACTGCCTCTGGCCATCAGAGGGGCAAAGCCTGGCACGAAGAAGTGCAGGCGAGGGAAAGGGACCATGTTCACTGCCAGCTTGCGGAGGTCTGCATTGAACTGGCTAGGGAAGCGCAGGGAAGTGGTGACCTCGCTCATGGTGGCAGATAGCAGGTGGTTCAGGTCTCCATATGTGGGAGTGGTTAGCTTCAGGGTACGGAAACAAATGTCATACAAAGCCTCATTATCGATGCAATAGGTTTCATCTGTATTTTCAACCAGCTGGTGAACAGACAGGGTGGCATTATAGGGCTCCACCACAGTATCAGAGACTTTGGGGGAAGGCATGACACTAAAGGTGTTCATGATCCTATTGGGATACTCCTCTCGGATCTTGCTAATGAGCAGAGTGCCCATGCCAGACCCTGTGCCGCCCCCTAGCGAGTGCGTGAGCTGGAACCCTTGCAGGCAGTCACAGTGCTCAGATTCTTTCCTCACTACATCAAGCACAGAATCCACCAGCTCAGCGCCTTCTGTATAGTGCCCCTTGGCCCAGTTGTTTCCTGCACCAGTTTGACCTGAAAGAAATAAAGTAAAAAAAGTCATTGTAGCATGGAATTTAAATATGGTGATTCAAGAAGGCATTATACTATTAAACATTTTTATAAACAACAATGGAAAAGCTGTACTTTGCACAACTAGACATATTTTTTACTAAACTGCAGGAGGAGAAACCAGTGTACCATTAAATGTGGTCACAAGAGGATTCAATACAACTACGTAAGTGAAACTGGCAAATTTTAAGATGTACATACTTTTTGATGTGTGAACTCGTTCTTGTAAAAAGTTTATTTTTGCACGTGGTAATATTTGAAAGAGGGCAAAAGGCATACATTAAAAGTAAGTCCCCCTTTCCACCCTCCTTTGTTCTATATCTTGGACATACAGTAACAATTTTCCATGTAATAGAACCTCACATTCACTGTTGTTATCTGCCGTCGAGTCGTTTCCGACTCATAGCGACCCTATGCACAACAGCCCTAAACCCTGCTCTATCCTGCGCCAACCGCACTGCCTCTGACACACCCATCCC